TCGGTATTTTACTCACTCCTAGGTCTTTCTCCTTGAGTGAGGTTTGCAGCCTTTGGCTACCTAGCCTATACACTGTCTGCAGTCTTCTTTGCCCTTCTCCGATCTTCATGACTGCATTTGGCGGGGTTAAATTCTAGGAGCCAGTTTCTGGACCACACATCCAGCCTGTCCAGGTCTCTTTGTAGACCTGTCTGGTCCGCGTCTTATTTAATTCTCCTCATTAACTTCACGTCATCTGCAAACAGGGACACTTCTGAGTCTATCCCTTCGGTCATGTCGTTCACATATACCAAGAATAGCACTGGTCCCAGGACTGACCCCTGTGGGACCCTGCTCGTCACTGGCGCCCACTGTGATACCTCATCACGGACCATGACTCGCTGTTGCATCCCTGTTAGGTATTCTCTGATCCATTTCAGTGCCCTTCCTGTTATACATGCCTGTTCCTCTAGCTTCTGTACTAATCTCTTGCGAGGAACTGTGTCGAAGGCCTTCTTGCAGTCCAAGAAAATGCAATCAACCCACCCTCCCTTCATTTCTTACTTCAGTTACCTTGTCATAAAACTCTAGTAGGTTTGTGACACAGGATTTGCCTTCCATGAATCCGTGCTGGCTGTCGTTTATGATCTTGTTCCGCTCCAGGTGCTCCACCACTCTCCTCCTGATAATCTTTTCCAAGACTTTGCATACTATACATGTCACTGGCACTGGTCTACAATTTAGTGCTTCATTTCTGTCTCCCTTCTTAAAGATGGGGGCTACATTTGCCTTCTTCCATACTTCAGGTAGTTGCCCAGTTTCAAGGGAAGTGTTTGAGATTTTGGTTTAGTGGCACACGTAGTGTCCCTGCTCCCTCTCTAAGGACCCACGGAGAGATGTTGTCTGGTCCCACCGCCTTTGAGGTATCAAGGTCACTTAGGAGCTTCTCCACCTGCTCCTCAGTTGTGTGTAATTCATCCAACACTTGTTGGTATATCCCTTGTTGCTGTACGCCACTGTTTTGTCTTCCCGTTGTCCCTTCAGCCTCCACTGTAAATACTTCCTGAAATCTCATGTTGAGCTCCTCACATACCTCCTGGTCGTTTCTTGTGAGCTCCCCACCTTCTTTCCTCAGCCTAATTACCTGGTCCTTGACTGTTGTCTTCCTCCTGATGTGGCTGTACAGCAGTTTCGGGTCAGACTTGACTTTCGATGCTATGTCATTTTCATACTGCCGCTGCGCCTCCCTTCTTATCTGTGCATACTCGTTTCTGGCTCGTCGACTAATCTCTTTATTCTCCCGAGTCCTTTGCCTTCTGTACTTTTTCCATTCTCTAGAGCACTTAGTTTTTGCCTCCCTGCACCTTCGGGTAAACCAAGGGTTCCCTCTCTCCTTCCCATTATTTCTGTTACCCTTGGGAACAAACCTTTCCTCTGCCTCCTTGCATTTCGTTTACTGATTTTCCTACCAGCTCCTGTTCCCACTGAACCTCCAGCAGGAAGATCCTCATTCCTGTGTAGTTCCCCCTTTTATAGTTTAGCTTTTCCCTTTCTACTCATGTTACCCTCTCCACTTTTAGGTCCACGATGTATTCAAAGCTCATAACTACGTGGTCACTAGCTCCAAGGGGCCTTTCACATGTGATGTGCTCAATGTCTGAGCTACTCAGGGTAAACACGAGGTCCAGTCTTGCTGGTTCATCCTCCCCTCTCTCTCTAGTAGTATCCCTAACATGTTGGTGCATGAGATTTGCTAGCTCCACATCCATCATCTTGGCTCTCCATGTTTTTGGACCCCCATGTGGCTCCAGGTTTTCCCAATCAATCTCCCTGTGATTGAAGCCACCCATAACCAGTAGCTTCACTGTACTTGAGTGGGCCCTTCTTGCCACCTCAGCTAGAGTGTCCACCATTGCTCTGTTGCATTCATCATATTCCTCTTTTGGCCTCCTGCAGTTCTGTGGTGGGTTATACATAACTGCAATGACTACCTTGTGTTTCCCTGACTGAACTGTACCTACTATGTAATCCCTTTCTCCAATCTCGTCCATACCTTTCATTTCTTGATAACCCCACCGTTTTTTTATTAGTAGTGCAACCCCTCCCCTCCCCAGCTCTTTCTATCCTTCCTCAGGATCTGATATACGAGTGGGAAGATTGCATCTGTTATTATCCCAGTGAGTTTCTTTTCTGTAACCGCTATGACGTCTGGGGACAACTCCTTGATTCTTTCCTGCCACTCCTCACATTTATTCGTTATTCCATCCGCGTTCGTGTACCAAACCTTCAACTTCTTTTCAATAACTGTGGTCTGGGGAGAGAGGTGGGTTAGGGGGTGCAGGGACCTATAGGGGTTGGTGTGGAGGTGGGGTCTGTGGTGTGGGTGTGGGGGGCAGAGGGGCCTATGGGGGATTTCAGTGGGGTGGGGTAGTGTGTAGGGGTATGGGGGAAGAGGGCCTATGGGGGTTACAATGGGGGAGGGGGTTGTGATGAGGGCGATGGGGATAAAAGGGTACAGTGTGTGAGTTGCTGTGGGTTACTGCGAGGGTGGGGTTTGTGGTGAGGGGGATGGGGGGAAAGGGTACATTGTGTGGGTTACTGTGGGTTTCTGTGGGGGTGGGGTTTGAGCTGAGGGGGATGTACAGGTTACTGAGGGTTACTGTGAGGGTGGGGTTTATTCAGAGGGGGATGTGTGGGTTACTGTGGGTTTCTGTGGGAATGGGGTTTGTGCTGAGGGGGATGGGGGCAGAGAGGGCAGTAAGTGGGTTTTGGGTTAGGTCGTTTGGTTGCTTTGGGATTGCCATGGTTGTGTTCCTTCTGTGGGTGGTACCGGAGGGGGTTGTGTTTGTTCTTCCACGTGGGCCTGATTTCTCCTGCTCTCCACCATTCCTCCTTGCGACGTTGCACCCTCTTTTTCAGTGTCATCCTTTCTTCTTGTGTTCTGTCTCGGTCGAGGTACACACTCCGGAACACCTGATTGTCCCTTAGGCGTGCTTTCTCCTGCAGGATCCGGTTTCGAGCTGACTCTGCCTTGAAAATCACTTTGACTGGATGCTTTTTTTCCCTCGCAAACCACCCAATTCTCTGAAAATTTGTCAGCTGAGTCATGTCGTCCTCTCCTATTGCTTTTATGATGCTTTCAATCGTTTTTTTTCTCCTCCTGTTTCCTTGCCTCGTAAGTTTCCCCATCTACTTCATGGAGCCCATAGACAAAAATGGCCCTCTCCCTTTCATCCTCCCACTGTGCTTCCCTGAGCATCCTCTGATTCAAATTAGTTCCTGCCATTGACGCGTTGCTTCTTACTGTCTCTTCCCTATCTGGTGTCCCTCTGCTTATTTGTTCCTGGACATGGCAGTTGTCTGTCAGAGCCTCTGTGTATAGTTTAGCTCCTTCATTGACTTTAGTCCCCTCATTAGTTCTTGCTGTTCTCCCTGCCTTTTCCCAGGCCTCCCTTGGGTCCGATGCGATCATCACATACAGTATATCTTCTTTGTCCCCTACTGTCCCCTCATCGGTGACTGAGGTAGTAGCTCATGGTGTCATGGCTGTACTGTGTGTGTGTGTGTGTGTGTGTGTGTGTGTGTGTGTGTGTGTGTGTGTGTGTGTGTGTGTGTGTGTGCGTGCGTGCGTACATGCGCATGTGTGCGTGCATGCGTGTGTGTGTGTGTGTGTGTGTGTGTGTGTGTGTGTGTGTGTGTGTGTGTGTGTGTGTGTGTGTGTGTGTGTGTGTGTGTGTGTGTGTGTGTGTGTGCTGTGTGTTGTGTGTGTGTGTGTGTGTGTGTGTGTGTGTGTGTGTGTGTGTGTGTGTGTGTGTGTGTGTGTGTGTGTGTGTGTGTGTGTGTGTGTGTGTGTGTGTGTGTGTGTGTGTGCATGTGTGTGTGTGTGAGTGTGTGTGTCTGTGTACTCACCTATTTGTACTCACCTATTTGTGGTTGCAGGGGTCGAGTCCTAGCTCCTGGCCCCGCCTCTTCACCGGTTGCTACTAGACCCTCTCTCTCCCCGCTCTATGAGCTTTATCAAACCTCGTCTTAAAACTGTGTATGGTTCCTGCCTCCACTACGTCATTTTCTAGGCTATTCCACTGCCTTACAACTCTATGACTGAAGAAATACTTCCTACTATCTCTCTGATTCATTTGTGTCTTCAACTTCCAATTGTGACCTCTTGTTTCTGTGTCCCCTCCCTGGAACATCCTGTCCTTGTCCACCTTGTCTATTCCACGCAGTATTTTATATGTCGTTATCATGTCTCCCCTGACCCTCCTGTCCTCCAGTGTCGTCAGGCCGATTTCCCTTAATCTTTCTTCATAGGACATTCCCCTTAGCTCTGGAACTAACCTTGTTGCAAACCTTTGTACTTTCTCTAGTTTCTTGACGTGCTTTATCAAGTGCGGGTTCCAAACAGGTGCTGCATACTCCAGTATGGGCCTGACATACACGGTGTACAGTGTCTTGAATGATTCCTTACTAAGGTGTCGGAATGCTGTTCTCAGGTTTGCCAGGCGCCCATATGCTGCAGCAGTATCTGAGATGTGTGCTTCCGGAGACATGCTCGGTGTTATACTCACCCCAAGATCTTTCTCCTTGGGTGAGGTTTGCGGGTTTTTGGCCACCTAGCCTATACTCTGTCTGTGGTCTTCTGTGCCCTCCCCTATCTTCATGATTTTGCATTTGGCAGGATTAAATTCGAGAAGCCATTTGCTGGACCAGGTGTCCAGTCTGTCCAGGTCTCTTTGTGTGTGTGTGTGTGTGTGTGTGTGTGTGTGTGTGTGTGTGTGTGTGTGTGTGTGTGTGTGTGTGTGTGTGTGTGTGTGTGGATGCATTGGTTGATTCATAGCTCCTATCTGTATTTTGTTTCTCTTACAAAAACATCATATATACAAACTATTCTGTTTCCAGGATGTGTTAGTCAAACACTATCTGCTCTTATCTCTTAATAATCATACGGACTAAGGGGGCAGCAGCACAATAACTACGTGGTGAAGAGTCAACAGATAAACATTTGTATGCAGTGGGCGTAC